AACGGCCTGAGGTTTGCATCTGGTAGTAGGTCAGACCGAGGTCGTTCGCCTGCGCGTAAAGAGAAGGTGCCAATGACGCGTGAAACCACATCACCGTCATGTGTGAACAGTCAATCTCGCAGATACGCAAACAAGCAAAAATATAAAAAGATAAGAGTGTGGAGCGGAGCTCGAAGATTGCGTAGCAACGTAGAAGGTTGGAGCTTCAAAATTCTTTTAAGGTTAGCCCAACGTTGGCCGCCGAAACGCACGATGTCGCATACACGCATTCCGAGATGTGGGATTTCCTTTTGACGCAGTTCATCGGTTTTCTCTTTTCCCCGGAGATGCATAAAATCGATCTGTTCAGCACGAATTAGAGACTCCACTATACGCTGCGCAGCGAGAAAGGGCAAGCGTAACTTCTAAGAATTTTGCACTGCTACAAAGACGTACAAGTGAGCTTGTGGTGACTCAACCGTCCAGAACCATTGCCTTGATAAGCAGATATATTACAATCGTGGCTATGTGTCGGAGCAGCGCGAAGGTCTAGGGTCCGCGTGGCAGCTTCAAATGGCCCGAATACCAGTACCAGGAAATGTTGAGCGCGACCCAGACTGGACGGTAGCATGCAAGCATATAGCCTTCGGCGTTACCAAGAGCTCGTCGTGGGTCAACTCTATACCAGAGGCATGGTCCGGTTTCGCATCTCCCGTCGTCAAGCAGGCTTCCTCCCCGATGCGAATGACGCGATCATGTACAGCACTCCAGTGCCCATACCAACACCAGCTCCTCCCAGCATGGCACTCCCAACAGTTATCGGCACCCGGCCGCTCCGTGCAGCGATCAGAGCCCCGGCAGCACCGGTCCCAGCCGCGCCAAGTGTGACCCAATCTGTTTTCACTTCGCCATGATTCTCCAGTATCCGCCATGACCTATCTTTCCACTCTATTTCCTCTCGGCCTCTCATGCGGCCCCATGTCATGATCGCGCCAGCTGCTGTTCCTAGAACGAGGCCGCGACCGGCAGTCTTGAGCGTACGAGATAGGATTGTAGCGTAATCGATCGGGGAATTACGGTATCGTGCTGCGATGATAGAGGCTGGAAACTGGAGGATTGAAAAGAAGGAAAATGACATGGCTGAAGCGCGCATGACATGCAGGTATAGGATACTGCGCGCATACGGCTGGTCTTCGGCGTAAGGAGGATGTGGGAACAAGGACGTCATCTCGAACGTTCGGCGCGCGATTCGTAGATGATTCGAGGTCGAGGGCGCAATGTGGTTATGCGAATCGGACTGAGGATGATTTCGGTCGAGGTTTGGTTCGATCGTGTATTGGCGTTGTTTCTGGGTGTATCGAAGTGTAGGCGAGCTTTGACGAGCTACAGGTAAGTATCGAACCTCTTGGGGGGAAATCAGTTCATCATATGTTCGCAGCGAGAGGGGTTGCCTGAGAGCATGCGCGCATGCTTCTCGTCCGTATGCCCCGATGAGGCCCTACAGTCGGAGAGAACCTGATGCCGGTTGCGAGTGTCGGCCGCAAGTAATACGGCAGCCTTGTGTATCTCTACGATATAGCTGCCTTAGATTCAGGCCACAACGGTGTTCTGCCAATGATATTCGCACAAGCCTCTGAGCTCGCGTTCCGTGGCTTGCGGCCTGCCGAGGCGTCCTGCGCGTCTGGATCTAGGAGCACTCGGCCACCGGGCTCGTCGCAGCTTCTCTGAAGGCCTCCTCGAGGTCCTGTGCTAGGTCCTGCTTGCGCGCAATGTCATCGCAAGAAGCTGGACTTTGCAAAGTTTTCCTGGTGTCATGCGTCGAGATGGGACTGCCAGCTGCTGTCAGGACAACAAGAGGATCCATGGTCGCGCCAGCCGATGGCGATCGTGTATGCAACGCCAGTCATCTCTGATGCAGATGCCGAGGAGGGAACTATGCCAATGAGGAGTTCGTGAAACTTCCCCGGACAACGCCTGTGGCTGCCGCGTCCGCAGCTGGTACTTGCGCGAGATAATGCGGAGAGGGCGACAACTGGACGACGCAAACGCCATCTGACACGGGCCGAGTCGCGATCATGCCTGGGATCACGAGGAGGAGGTTTGCGGTTGCACGATGCAGGATTTCCAACGTGCACCGCGCGTCTGCTGTTGCGAAGCCCCATGACGTCACTAAATCCGTGGATCATAAATGCACCATCGCAGCACAGACGCTACAGGATATCACCAAAGCTCACTACCACTTAGCCGGCATCTAACAAACTTTACTATCTTCGGGAACTAGCATCGCGACCACCCTGGAACAAACAAACAACCCACCAACCTCCAAGACCAATCGTCAACATGCCTATCGGCCAGCAAGAAAGCGGTGTAACTTCTGGCGTCAAGTTTGTCACGTCCACTGTAGGCAATACGGTTGGCGGCGTTACAAACACTCTAGGAGGGGTTGTTGGCGCGGTTGGACGAGGCTTGGGCGAAACGGTAGATTAATCTGTACTAACTACAAATGAAAATATACTGACTCTGAGCGCCTTTGCTTAGGTCGAGGGCGCCACAGGCAGTGCCGGTCGGCCGGTTGCACGAGGCCTTGCCGATGTATCCACGAGCATTGAAAAAGGTGCAAACGATGTAGCAGGAGGCGTCAAACGTGCTGGGGAGGGCAAGTAGGTCTCGATAAGGTTCGACAAGAGTTGGACTTGTCAGTGAAGACTGGGGCTTGTACCACATTCTCCACGGCCTACATCCTGGCGTATAGCGGGGGACGGACAAGACTACACACAGCCACCAAATGCTATCAGCATGGGATGTCGCCAAGTCCATAGGTACATATCTCGTATGTAATGTACCTCTGACGCCAGTGTCCCATACTAACTTGAGTTGGCTTCTTAGGCATTGTGATCAGATGTGTGTCCAAGACGCGATGCCGGAGCAGTGCGCCGAAGAGATCTCCGCTCATATCATGCAACGCCTATGTGAAGCTTGCACTTTTGCGATCCTCGAAAGATACCGCGGCCGAGTAGCCCGAGTCTTCTCCACCGGATGCCGATTGTTCCGGATATTTCATACCGAAGCAACCTTTACCTAGGTCCAGGTACATGAGCATCCCACGCCTGGCATACCCATGACGCAGCTAGCTACTGTCCGGCGGACTTTGTTGGTTCTGTCTCGGAGTACCAGTCCAAAGGACACCGAAGGGAAGTAGAGAAGGACCCTGCGGGGACTAAATTGTCGGTTGGCGCGCCACTGTCCCATGGATCAGCATGGAGGGTCCATCCATCGTGAGATCGTGATCGCCGAGGCCGAACAACCTCACCAACACAGACCCCTTCGGCTCGGCTCCCTGTCATACGCTGGCCGCGGTGTTGGATGTACATATGTGTGTCTGGGAAAGGCAGGCGCTGTGCGGGGTCAGATGATCAAACCTACTTTCGTCACTCGCGGAAAGCCTCACCGTGTCACTGACCGCACGAGAAGCTGCAATAGGAATGACTACTGAAGGTTAGCTGTCGAGTACATGCAGCTGCTTAGCGCCACGATTGCGGGATAAATCAGCATAGAGGGTGGAGGACGACTCGAGTGTGCCCAGGTGTGACGTCAATGGTACGTCTGACATATGCGCATCTCATGTCAGATATGTCTACCATCGCAATATTTGCAAATCCACATCGTAGCCAAGGGTAGTGGTATTGTTTTCAAATGCCATGTTTCCATCGCACAGAATCCCACGAATGCAACCAGTCTTACCCAACAATCTAAGCGTTCTCTAGGGTTGACCAGCCGACGGAGGCAAATGCGCCAGCCTGCAGCCAGCCAGCCAGCAATAAGCGGCATACTATCGATATGCGCCCGCAAGGCCAGCCTGCCAGCCTCCCCCAGCCCGTCCCAAGCGTTCCCATGCAACGGTTCCACTGGAGAAGGTGGGTTGGGGCGGCTGAAGACACTTGCGAAGGCGAAAGCCACATGTACCCCACAAGCGTTGCGCTAGCGCACGTAAGCGTCGTTCCGAATTGGGAACCGATCTTTGACATCAATTGGGGCATTCGTCTCTTTGACACCAATCCCATCCGTCGTCATCCTTGCATTTTGCCTTCCAATAGTCCGATTGAGCGAGCTACATTTTCACCATACACCACCCTGCAGATCCGCCTGCATGTCGGCCAATGAGACGCGCACAACTGATGAATAACGACGCCCCGCCACACTCCACATCGGGGTCTACAGAACGCACGTATATTGCTCTAAGGAAGGCGCTAGGATGCTGCACGGAGCGATCGTCCTAAACCCGCAGTTACGAGACTTCGGTTGAGCAGCTGTCTTAGAGGTTGCATACCACGGAAACCGAGCTCAACATATCGAGATTTGCATTAGGCAGCATGTCACCGGTCAATTGACAGGCAGAATACATGGACCAGAAGGCTGAAACCATTGCGTCAGGGTAGCCAATACAATGGCAGCAATCGCGATCAAAAGTTACTCACGGGCTGGGATTGAGATAAGTTTAGACGAGAGGCGGGACGGGCTTTGTTCACGCGCATTCTCAGTGAAATGGTGGGGAACTAACTGAGGGGTCGGATGAAAGGGCATCCAATGATGTAGCAGAAGTCTCCGCGGTGTTTATCGTTACGGCACGCGCGATCTCTATCCAGCCTCTTTCTCCAGCCGTCAGAAGCGTCGACGCTAGGCGGTTGTAGCTTCGCATTGACGCGTGGAGTTGATCCATGACCTTGGCTCAAGCGCTGAGGCTTCAGTGCATGTCCGATCTGCGGTGATATGCTCGATGAGGTAGATTGAATAGACTAAGTACTCGCCTGGTTGTGAGTATATAGCTGTCTTACCTTCCCGCGTTTCTTACCTACCCAGAACATCTCACACTCTCGTTGTCGTGGTTACCAGCATCGTCGACAGTCTTCCAATCGTATATCAAGTAACTGATACCTCGCTTTTCAGTTTACTCCGTCGCTACTTACGCTCGCTGTCAAGTACGCCCTATACATTAATATCAACCACCAACCGACTATCCGAAAATGAAGTCCTTTGTCGCTGCCGGCCTCGCGGCTGCCGTTGCTGCCTACCCCCAGGCCTCCTCCGACGCTGAGTGTGCGTCCTCTGCCCCGGGCACTTTCGCCATCACCACCGTCAATGCCACCACCACTCCCTCCAGGATGGTCAGGCGCCAGCTTGATGGTACTCTTCAGCTGTCTCTCGAGGATGGCAAGTTGACCGACCAGGCTGGTCGCACCGGTTACATCGCCGCCAACTACCAGTACGTATCCTACAACACTCTGACATACTCAGTCAGTACTAACATACTATCAGATTCCAGTTCGACCAACCCGTACAGGAGGGTGCTCGCGAGACTGAAGGTTTCGGTCTCTGCAGCAACGGCTCCATGTCCCTGATGGGCTCCGCTGTCTTCTACCAGTGCTTGTCTGGAGACTTCTACAACCTGTACAGCCAGTCGACTGGTGCTCAGTGCATTCCCATCCACATCCAGGCTACCATGTCCGAGGAGACCGGCCCCGTCTCCCAGATCTCCGATGGTCAGCCCCAGGCTACCTCTGCCGGAGCTGTTACTCAGATCTCCGACGGTCAACCCCAGGCTTCCACCCCCGGCGCCGTTGTCACTCAGATCTCTGACGGTCAGCCCCAGGCTTCTTCGCCTGCTGTCGTTACCCAGATCTCCGATGGCCAGCCTCAGGCATCTGCCCCTGTCGTCACCCAGATCTCTGATGGTCAGCCCCAGGCCTCCGCCCCCGTCGTTACTCAGATCTCCGACGGCCAGCCCCAGGCTTCCGCTCCTCTCGTCACCCAGATCTCCGACGGTCAGCCCCAGGCTTCTGCCCCGATCGCCAACTCCACCATGCCTCCCTTCTCAGAGTTCACTGGTGCTGCCTCCACTGGCACTGCCAGCATCGGCGCTCTCGCTGCCGGTTTCCTCGCCCTCTTCTCCTTCTTGTAAGCGAGATCAGCTCTATTCAGCGCGCGCGATGAACATGGGACACGGTCGCTTTGACGATCACATAATGAAGGCTGTAGCGGAGGATGACACGATTTCCTTGCAACGTTCCTTGATGACTGCATGCATCTACGACATCATGTACATAGCTAAAGCATAGGCGGCATGGTGTTTGGATATTTGTTTCTAAGAAAGAAGCCACGGACTTAGCTAGTTCAATAGGTAGTCCCGCATCTCCATGCGATGAAAATATTAATACAACGGATATAAAAACACAACACCTGGGCATGTTCCTCAACTCATCTACCGTAATAGCCAGCCCTTCTGCGTCCTCTGACCCGGCAACCCAACCCTTTCACAGCTCCTCCGCTTTCCAAGAAATGTACCCCATTACTCAATCCCTTCAAAGCTACTGCGGTAATCCTGGTAAAACAGTCAGACGACATACATCCTTCGCAGTGCCGCAGAGGCGCATTTCCCTGCTGGTGCATGCTGATCTCTATCCTAGCTGTGTCACGTCACATCACACCGGCGATTGTACGCTTTTCGCTTGCTACTGCATGTAGTCTCCAATATGTAGTGTCACGCATATGTCTTGACAGGCATCTTGAGCACGTACATAACAGCCGGTGAGGAGTTATATACCCCACGTGCAGGTTGCTTCCGCAAGGGATATGTACCGGTACATTCTCCGAAGTACACGGTACGAAATCATGATGTCAATTGCACATCACACACTTCAATGCAGCTCCTACGATTCGACATAGGCCTACATAAACAAGTAGAACAGATACAGCTCAAAGACACAATATACACATTCCCAAAGAAAGACGACAACAAAGAATAAAGAAAAAGAAAAATCACAGACAAACGTCGTCAACCCACCCTGCATACACACCGTCCCTGCCTCGCTATTCCCCCATAACCCCAACCCACCAAGCTACAGTCCACCCTAACCACCTAACTAACCACCCTCAGTCCCTCAGCCAACGTGTCAAACCACCAAAGATTAAGTTGCAGCCCGCGTTATCGATTGACACGCGTGCATGCACTAGAGTCGTTGGGAGGCTTGCGCCGTCTCCCACACTACCAACAAGCGCATTATCGAATACTCTTTAGTTCTTGAGGAGATATTTATAGGATATGAACAGGGCTAGATGGATTAGCTGTGGCGGTGCGTTTTTCTTTTCGGGTTTTCGGCTTTCCGCGGGGACAAAGTTTGGTTGAGACGGGTTGTGGGTTGTTCGACGAACCAGCGGGTTGGGGTTTGACTGTGCCGTGTTAGGGTGGCGAGAACGCCTGGGGAAGGGGCGGTGACCTGCTTTCGACACTGAGGACTGGGTTTCTTGTTATAGATCTTGTGAACTGGACTTTTGAAGTGTCTTGTATGAGAATGTCTGGGAAATATCGCCGTTAGACATTGAATCAACGCCTAGGATTCCGTATGTAGTCTCGGGAATCGTTTTAACGAAATACATTCCTGAGTATCGTGAAGTAGGGGTTTGAGGCTTCGTCTAGTCAAGACGGACGGGTTATTGGAACTGTAATCGTACCTGGGTAATTTCTATATCATAATTTCTGTTAACGAATACCGTCATTCCGTTTATCTGAAGCTTCTTTTGCAAAAGGCTTGGATGACGGTGCATCGAAGCATCAGAGTATCCAGTCAACGCTGTTGACTCCTCAGTTTTGCACTCCCATTTCCGAGATGTGTTCTTTGACTCTAGCAAATAGTCATTTGGCGCCTCTAGGTGACTCCTCGCAAAAGCACCAAACTAAATCGATTTGTTCAGTTACCGCTCTTGGCTTCCCAATGCCGTGTCTCCAGTTTTGAAACTCGTTTCAATGTCGTGGGCGGAGTGATCCGACCCTTCTATCTTTCATGCTTTCCACAAAAGGCCCAGGCGAGATAGCTTCGCTAGCTCAACGTTTTCGGCTGTCCAAAACCGTATTCCCGGTTTCTATATCTGGTATTCGGAATCCTGGTACAACGTGCCTGTACTGTGCACATGATATCGCACTCGTGTTTGAGCTGGTACTGTGGAATACTGTATCAAAATCGAGGCATCGGATCCAAACGAACGGTGGAAATTTGATATCTGTACTGCTTGATTACGATTATACACTTATAACATTTGTATGTCGGTACATATTCGTCCTTCAGTCCTATTGTTAATTCGCATTTCCAAAATCCATGAGAGTTGCATACAGGATGGATTACGTTTCTTTTATCATGCTAAACCGCTGTCAGTAACTATGATCTCGGAATAAAACACCATGGGTGTCCATATTGGATGCATGATTTCTGTCATTCATCATGCATACAAGTGGAATGGAGCGATTGTCCCACGTCATCTGAAGTAACACCGAACGTAGCGGTCACGCTCGCTTCGGGCCGACCCAGCCTTTGCTGCACCACCTCATACAGGAAAACCTGAACAGGTCTGCAGACAACATTAACATGAGTACGTGCAAAGTGAGTGTGTTAACATCGATGTAGACCCCAGGGTATTCACTTTTTCCCTAGGTTGACGTGGCACCGTATTACAACTGTTGGTGTGCAATATGATATTATTCCAAGAGCTAACGCCAACGCCCGTAAGAGTACATCTACTACGCATGTGATGGCCATGGTATGTACTTGCATCTAGCTCATTCCATCGAGAGAGCCAACGTGCAGCCACATGCGCTCCCCGCTGCTTTGTGTCCGCCTAGCGTGCTTATAATTGCTGGAGTAATCCGCCTAGACGTACTGGCTCAACCATCTGATACCCTCTCCGTAACCCTGCCTCATGACCACACTGCACATGAAGACCTCAACCGGGCGGATACCCTCGAGCGGTACCTTGCCCTTACCGGTTGTCTGGTATAGACCAAGCGCGGAGCGGAGCTGGTCCTCGGAGATGGCGTCGGGGTGGTCGATCTTGTTTCCAAGAACGACGAAAGGAGTGTTCTTCAGCTCCTCCATGGCGAGGAGAGCATCGAGCTCGGCTTTTGACTCGGAGAGACGCTCGTGGTCTTTGGCGTCAACAAGGAAGACGATGCCGGAAACTTCGGGGACTGGGACATTGTCAGTTTATGCAAGCGAACAGGCAGGCTTGACATACAGTAATCGCGCCATAGTCGGCGGGCTTGTGCGTGACCTCCGAGATCGAAGGTTGTGAACTTGACGTTTCCTATTGAGAGCTCTTCGGAAGTGGGGTGCAGAGTCGGCTGGCTGGACCATATGTTAGCCGGTAGTTGTCAAATAAGGCCACATCTCACTTACAGGACAGCGACCCTGTCGTTCTTGAGCATGTGCAGAAGCCTAATCGTGTTAGCGGAAGCTCGCGTGTCCAGTTTGGTAGCCATACGTGGTCTTTCCTGCATTGTCACTGGAGCCTAGTCAGCTATACGTATTTGAAATTGCTGGCATGTGGAAGTGCGTACAGTCCGAGGAAGAGCAGTTTGGCATGCTGTGATGATGTGTTAGCTTGAGTAGTGAAGTTGAGACTATGCTCCTGCTTACCTTGTTCATGAGTCCAAGCGAGGACAGAACATCCCAGACTGTTACATAACGTCAGCCCATGTTCAACTATGTTCCAAGCAAGCCATTGGTTGATCCGGCAGGTGTTCGGGACATGTGCGATGGTATAGTATCGATGCGCATGTGATAAGCCCGGCCTTGTTGTTTCCTTGCGCCGTGTTGTAGACGTTGGCCTCGGAAGGCGATAGCAATGTTGTGAGAGATTGCTGGAGGGATCTTGCTCTGCCGTGCTGTGGAAACGAACACATACGTCCATCCAGTTCGGGACATAACGAGGGAGGGTAGTTAACTTACACCTGGCGCGAGGTCAGCAAGAAAGCAATATGAGCACATAGCAAGGGGCTTACCAGTCGAGAATCCACATGTTGATGAGAGTTGTTCGGGTCTAGACTGTTGGTTGAGAATGTAGCAACGAAGTGTAGAGTGTGAATGGGAAAGGTAATGTTGGGGGAACATGGCCGCGATCGAGGCGGAAGTCGAGTGGCCCGTGCGCCAGATCCTTGGCGGCGCTGTTCCGAGCTCTCGCGAAGAACTTGGACATCAACCCTCCCGAACCGAAACCACCGCATCCCCGTCTAAATCCATCACAATGGCCGTCGGAGTACGTCACACCCCTTCCAGAAGACCCGTCGAAGCTCTCGAATGCCCAATTGCTGCGCCGGCAGTAGCCCCCCGCCCGCAATGGCTCCTCCGAAATGCAGAACAAGAAAACTAACATATCCCCTCTTGTAGCGTAGCGCAGCCCTCAAGCTCGACTGGACCAAGCTGGGCACCCAGCTCGGCCTCAAGGGCCAAACCGCCGCCGCCCTCCAGTCCTTCAAGAAGCGCAACGACGATGCGCGTCGCAAAGTCACCGTTCTCTCCGAGCAGTCCCAGACCGTCGACTTCGCCCACTACCGCGGCATCCTCAAGAACCAGGCCGTTATCGACGACATCGAGAAGCAGTTCAACGCTTTCAAGCCCCAGACATACGATGTAGGAAGGCAGATCAAGGCCATTGAGGCTTTCGAGGCCCAGGCCGTCCAGAGCGCAGAGCAGACCAAGAGCGTTGTCGACAAGGAGTTGAGCGACCTCCAGAAGACACTGAAGAACATTGAGGATGCCAGGCCATTCGCTGACCTCACTGTTGTACGTATATACGGTTACGGGCAAGTGAGGGACAAGAGGCTGACAGATATCACAGGACGAGGTCGCAGCTGCTCAGCCCGAGATCGACAAGCGCACCGAGCAGCTCGTCTCCAAGGGTCGCTGGGCCGTTCCCGGCTACAAGGCAAGTTTCAGGAATACTCAAGACAGTTCCTATGCAAGTGCTAACAACCCCGCAGGAGAAGTTTGGCGATCTTTCCGTCCTCTAAACATCTTCTTTGCATGTAGTCGAGATGTACCCGATCTGGGTTGTATTACCTACGTATTTGTGAATAGTTCCAGACAGTGGAAATGCACCCTAGATTTTGACCATTTACATCATTTCGCCTGCGTTGCTCATATTGGTTTCAACGCAGTCACCTGGAGACTTGTACAGCATGAATTCTTACATGGTTGGGCAACCCCGCAAATCATACATCACGAAAGAAACGCTTTCTGCTGAGGATGCCACTCGTATTTCATTACATATGCATTTGATACCGAACCCTCCAAGCACTAGAAGTCACATCGCTATATTGTCATTTCGAAAACGCCGCCCAATGCTTATCAAATACCCCTTGGTCTTACAAAAAATGCCCCCACCTGAAATTAACCCTACTCATCATACTCCGCATCCCTGACCCCACAAAAGTCACTACCGAAGCAACTGTCCACCATATACCACACCCGCCAGTAGAGACTCGCATTGTTTGCGTCGAAAGTTCCGTCCTCTTTTCTCGGTACATGGTCGCCAATGATACCATGTCCTGAGCCAATCACCCATCCAATGACAGGCACCGAGCCGACTGTTTGCTGCCAGCGGGGTTTTGCGGGGAGGAAGGCCTTTTCTTGTGGGAGGAACACAGCGGGCTTCACGTTTGCGCCCTTGAGTCGCAGGGTTGCGCGTTGAGAACGGGGGTTCAATGCTGTGGTAGTTGCATGCGCGGGAACGGTGTTTGGGTCGAGAGCTTGGTGCATTTCGCGTGGTTGAGACATGGGTTCCACGGGCATGTCGTCGAGATGGCTTGGGAAAGCGCCGCTTGTACTCCTCAGCCAGGCTGGTTCCGAGTTTGATTGCGATACAAGTCCTTGTGACGCTGCAGGCTGGGAGGCCGTTGCTGTGGCAGATGAGGCTGTTGCTGAAGACTGAGATGCACCGCGTGGTCCTAAGGTGCCTGAAGATACGGTGTTGGGTGAAGCGATTTGTGACATTCCCCCTCCTTCTGCGCGCAACGGCCGGTCACCACCTTGCGGTCCTGTCCCTCTGTACATCTCTGCGTAAACTGTGTAGCCCTGGATGTTCTTCGGACTGTAGTGACATGCGCGCTCGGCGGCTTCCGCACTATCGAAAGTCACCTTGACCCAGTGGTCTCCCCCAAGATATGTCTTGATCCTGGTCAAGTATTTCGGTTCCAAGTTTGGGTAGTATGTCGAGCGTTGCGCTGCTAGACTATAGCCGAGCCTGGGGTTGGGTGGCTCGCGATCGTATTCTTCGTAGATCATTCCGTTGGAAACCTTCTCGTAGTGTGCTATCGCAGCCCATTGCTGCTCGGATCCGAAGCCGTATAGTATGACTTCCTTGGGTTCTTGTGCGAAAGTGGCGTTCGTTGATGCGCCTGCTGCGAACGAAACGTTCAGTCCGTTGCTTGCGTCTATGAGATTTGGTGCCGAAGCTGATGGTGGTAGTGCACCGGCTGGCCGCGCGGATACCGAGCGCCTCTTGTCTTCGTCTGCCTTGAAACGACTGAAGATGTCATCTTCTGTGCGCTGGTTGTAGAGTCTCGCTTCGTCAGCTGCGTTGCTGGCGCCCAAGGGTGTCTTCGCTCGTGAGGTGCCGCGTTTCCGTGCTTTGCCAAAGGGGCCTTTCTCTTCTGGCACGCGCCGTTGATTTTGATCGGGACTGTCGGGGATCGATGTTAGCTGTGTGTCCGAATCTATGGGTGAATCCCAGTTGAGGTCGTCCATGGCGTCAAGATAGCATGAAGAAGAGGAATGTCGTATAAAGAACACTTTGTAGTCTTGTTTGTCGCATGACTAGGCTCATGCGTGCAGAAGGCTCCATTTGGTAATGGCAGTGAAACATGACTTACTCTGCGAACTCAAGCCCCCAGGGCAGCCTCCTCCCAGTCGAATCAAACGCGCGCTCGGAATCGGGTACTGCGTGGACCTGCATCTCTTCGGTGTGGTCGCGTCGTTCGTTCGGTGATTCGCTTTTCCGTTCGTGGTGCACGCGCGCGTGGTGCGTCAATCTCCTCGGGTCTTTTGTTTATGCGACAGGAAGACGAGCGGAAAGCTAACGCTAGCTCCAGGAACGCCGCGGCAAAGCCACACCGGGCCCGTGCACCAAAACGTGGCGCACAGTGCGATCTCCAAAAGGTGACGCGGAGCCTTTCCCGATCCATCTACCTTGTGCATGCTGCATGCAATCGGAAGTGGCTTACTTTTGAGTGCTGCCTGGTCGCAACAGCCGCTCATAAGTACTCGATGGAACTGACACCTATCATCGTGCGTGGCAAGAAGAGGAAGTACTTACACCCAGCATATGCTGCTGCCTCCAAAAGTAAACCTTTTACCATACCTGCACAAAACTCTTCAGCATCCACATCTCAACTCAAACGTCAACGGAAAACGAAGTCAGCCCGCAAGAAAAAAGAATATACGCCCGCCATGCCGACGCTCCAAGGACTCCCCACAGAACTGCTGGAAATGATCTTTCTTTACAGCATGAACCCAGCGCTTCCACGCTGCTCACGGGATCTTGGCGCGAAACTCTCCTCACATGCCATAGAGATGAGCTTCACTATGCAGGCCTTCTTCCATACCGTCGATCACCGTACCAACTATCGGGACCGACTCGTCACCAGCGATGCCTCACTCCAGTCCAACATCCTGACCTGCCATTTCTTTACCTACGACTTCTTTTTGAAATACGTGCAGCGCGCACAAGATGCCATGGTCAAGTTGCGCGGGAAGGCCTGGGCAGCTACTGGAGTTACGATCCCCGGAGTGTCCTACTTCGACGGACTATGGCCATACAAGTTCACCAAGATCCCTCATCTCGCTTTTGCGCAAGGCTTTCACATACCAGAAAAGTTGCTGCATGGGCCATGGACGGAGGACAAAGCGTCACTGCTTTACGTTTTGGTTAGCCTGACTGGAGAGATCGATTGGGAGGGTAGTATGGCAGGTGAAGTGGCGAAATCGGGCATGAAAGAAGCGATCAAGGAGGGTAACGAGCACGCGGTGGCAGCGCTTGCCGTGCTGTTGGGTGTGCAAAAAGGCATCACTACCGAGCTACTGCAGTATGCTGTCATACATTGCGGTTGCGACATCAACATCATCCGCCACCTACTCTTCAACGCACAGATCCTCGCCGAAGAAGCGTCAAGCACGTTGAATTTCCACGACCCTGCACTGTGGGCATGGGCAGACGTCAACGGTCACAAAGGAGTGACGCTCAAGACCATGCTCAAGGATGCGGTTGCATTTGATCTCGAGTTTTACTTTGAAGATAACGCCGACTGGTCCAAGATCGTCCCCTTCCCGTACGGTGGAAGCAAATTTGACGCAAGGACAGCATTCAACGACGTGGTAAGGGAGCTGCTGACGAACCTGTACCGAAACTACGGAAGGAAAATCACACGAAGGAGAGCAACGACACCAGAGCAGAGAGTCGCGGAGGATGATGCAGATGTTGATTGAGATTTTTATTGAGACTAGCTAGATATGATAGATCACAGAGCGAATACCCTGCCTACACGGCCTACATATCACTTAGCTTTGCGACCTGTCTGGCATATCGCGTGAATGGCCTTGATCGTGCTAAACTATTTCTTCACAAATTTTAGTCGCCTTCATCACATGCGCGCGTGACCCAACGCGGACAAGCCAACTTGATTGAAGAAGGCTAAAAACATGGCTTGACACGAAGACAGAACGTGCAGTTGGCACATGCAGCGATGTTGAGCGTACTTGCGTACACATGAGATTTTACCTGCAGGCTTGTTAGTGACTTGTATCGAAACAAAGCGTTATCAAGCAGAGCGTGTTTGTGGATCCCTTCAGTGATCTTGGTGATAAAATAGTAATCATAGAAATCATATACTATCTATTGCATGTTGTAATCATTGGGAGTGGGGGCGGTGATGTAAAAAAGTAAGAACTGACCTGTGCATGATAGCCGTGTGGAGTGACGGCACTGCAGTCGCATGTCGACATGGGTTTGCAATGAGCAGGCTAACAGCGACGTCGGATGTCGGGTATCTGTTGGCTGGGTATCTAAGCGTCTGTTTTGGTCAGCCGTTGTCGCGAAGTCGGTGCGGTGATGAAGCTGAATGGGTAAGGCAAGCTCAGAATATGTAAGAAATTGAATGTCATGACTTCGACGCCGTTAAGAGACCCCGGCGAGGGTCTCCGACGCCGAGCTCAATCGCAAATTATGTCATCCTAGGATGGGGGAGGAGTGTGGAGGCGAGAGACATACCAGTGGAGCTATGGGTGTTGGATCGTAGCTATGGGTCTTTGGAGTAGTTTAGCTCGGCGCATGTCGCGTCCGTCGCGTCTGCACCTGCAGAGCGCATGGTGCGAGGTCAAGTGGTCGTAATAGCCACGTCGACGACTGCATAAAGTCGCGACGGCTGTCGAGTCGAGCGTGGTGCTTCTGCGGTGCCCGCGGTGCTGGAGGAGATGATGGAAGTCGCGCGGTCGCAGAAAACTTTAAGGACGGCGCTAGCGCCAAGGCGCCTTTCGCTTGTGCACGGCCCCGGGCTCACACTGAATTTCGAACCTCCACCGACCGACATTACTTACTCCCGACAAGAACATCAACACCGACTCCTATTTCCGACCGGTACGCTTTCGACGCAGCAATACTCCACGTGTCTTCCCGTCTAACATTCTCTTGCAGCACATATCGACGAAATGGGTGACGCCGAAATTACAACGAGTGCCTGGAGGCTGGTAGAGGTCGGCCGCGTGGTCCTCTTCAACGAGGGTGCATTCGAGGGCCGCCTCGCTGTCATCGTCGAGATCATTGACCACAAGCGTGTATGGAAAATCCGCGATCCGGGTGCTGTTCAGCGGCTCACACAGACATAGGTCCTCCTCCAAGGTCCCTCCGAGAAGGCCCCTGTCCCTCGCCAGGAAGTCGCGCTTGCGAAACTCTCCCTTACACCCATCGTCATCCCCAAGCTTCCCCGTGCCTCGGGTAACGGCCACGTCGCGAAGAAGTGGGAGGAGCACAAGGTCCAGCAAAAGTTCGACGAGAGCTCATGGGCCCAGAAGCGTGCGGCTATCCAGAAGAGGCGGGGACTCAATGACTTTGAGCGCTTCAAGGTCATGAAGATGAGGAAGCAGGTACGTTCTGGCTTGTACCTGTGTCGTCGAATGCGACCATTCGGACGAGACGCGGTACCCCGGATGCGAATTGGGAACACAGACTAACAACAACACAGGCTCGTTTCGAGGTTCAGAAGACCTTCGCCAAGATCCGCGCCAGCGCAAAGGCATAGGTAGTCTCGATGCTGTCGGGAGACAGGCGTTGTGGTGATCGCTGCATGCAGGTGGCATAGAGGCATGACGTGCATTTCATGAGCATTCCGAAGGCGACCTCAAAGGCATTCAAAAATTCAAGGCCTGGTTAAGGGCGAATAAGTCCAATGTTTGGCACGGTGCAATTCGGTTTGGGAACGGTTTACTCGGCTCTCGCATGCATTCCACATGTAGCAAGAGAGTTCAATCCACAAATTCATGAACACACACGAACAGTGCAACTAGAATTGCAATTTGATACCCCCTTTGAAATGCCCTTCCTTGTGAATTGCGCGACATAGGCTGTGAGAGTAATTGTTGCTTGTGATGGGCGTCATTGCCAATTGCGAGAGCTGCCCGCGCTAAACCGCCCACAAATCATTTTTGGAAGCTCCGACCCCAACTCCGCGACGCTCGATATTGCAGCACCACCACCACCTGCCGTCACCCACAAACCGAAAAAATGGCCAACCCCCGCATTGAAGAGCTCCCCGACGAGCCCGAGAAGAAGAACGTCCAGATCGAGGAGGATGAGTCCAGCGACGAGTCTGAGAACGAGGAGGGCGAGGTCAACGTGCCCGCGGGCTCTTCCGTCGCCGTCCACTCCCGCAACGAGAAGAAGGCTCGCAAGGCCATTGCCAAGCTCGGCCTGAAGCACATCGACGGCATCACACGCGTCACCCTCCGCCGACCGAAGAACGTGAGTGCTTTCCGCGCAATTGGTGGGGGAGCTGCAGTCAACAAACACGAGATGCGGGCAGACCGTAGACACAGTGCAGGGTATTAGGCTAACACACCTACCAGGTTCTGTTTGTTATCAACCAGCCGGACGTCTACAAGTCGCCCTCAAGCAACACCTGGATGTGAGTCGCTGCCCCTCAATGGCACAAGCCGCCTGCTGACCCCGCACCAGCATCTTCGGTGAGGCCAAGATCGAGGACTTGAACGCCCAGGCCCAGGCCTCCGCCGCCCAGCAGCTCGCTCAGGGCGAGTCCGCGCCCCACGACCACGCCGGTCATGACCACGGCGACGACTCCGGCAAGGGCAAGGCCAAGGCTGTCGAGGACAAGAAGGACGAGGAGGAAGAGGAGGACGACGATGAGGAGATCGACGACTCTGGTCTTGAGGCCAAGGACATCGAGCTCGTCATGCAGCAGGCCAGCGTCTCGCGGAAGAAGGCCGTCAAGGCCCTCAAGGAGAACGACAACGACATCGTAAACTCCATCATGGCGCTGAGCATATAGACCACTCGGGTCTAGGTGTCTGGGTGTAAAAGGTGGATGACGACTTCAAACGCACTGCGGAGTCGAAAGACTTCTGCCTGCTCATGTAAAAGAATCTATCAACATGAATCTTTACGAATCATCGGTGGCCGTCCGGTCCATTCGAAAGCATTGGTTCCCAATGATTGCTATCTTGTCGATATGCGTGAGTGATCAGGAACTAACCAGTCTAGAAACCTTCCAGTCGCAAGATAGAATGGAAACGCTAAGCAGTGGCAGAACGGGGGCTGGCACAACGCAGCTGAAATATTCATGGGGCCAGACGAGCGACTGCATCTACCACTTGGCAGTTTTACCTTCTTCTATTGGAGCATATGGTCTCCCAACTCTGAGTCTTGTGGTAGCTGCAAAGCAGCCCTGCGGAATGAGGTGAGATGCAACAAGCATACCTTCTAGCGGTCGATCATCAGAAGTTTAACATGGCGGCTTCCAGTCATGCGCACTCAGACCCCAGTTCATGTGTCTTGAGGCTCTTTCTGACGTAGAGTTGCTGACAAGCCGATACAGCCTCAAGGGCCATTATGCGTGTGCTAAGTGATGGCTACCAATGGCTTCCATCAATCGCGATATGTTCGTCCAGATTGATATGCCTTTTCCAGGATCGCGGATCGCGGGTCCCGAGACTGAGGGTCAACGTCGTGCTTATGTCGTGGCTGGTGAGATGGGGATCGTGACGCCCGAGGACATTTCCAAACGTGGAACGCGGAATCCTAAACGCGCGGTTGCTCAGCAGCGGCTTTGTCAGGTACCCTTCGGAAAGAAAGCTATCCGGGAGCAGTGTTGTTAGCAATCGTGAATTGCGTGAGGATTGCGAGGTAATAGCGGTGAAGTTGGCGAGGGTGCGATACTCAGCCACAAGCTAACCAGCCACAGCGGCCAAATCCGGATCCCATGAACTCTTCCATCGTCAGCACAGATATGGGGATATCAGCCTCAGCCTTCCGACATGTTCTGGTTAGCTTCTTTCTCATTGTGTCGAAATACCCAGATATACAACGGAAAGTTGACTTTCCGAACGTGTTTCGCACACTCCGTCAGGATTGCGCCTAAATGCCGACTCCACACATCGACAACATCGAGCTCAGCTACCATGCTGCGCGTTGGTCCTCAGCATGGCACTTACCTGATACGCAGTATTCTCCGTAAGGTGCAACGGCGATGATGGTGTTGAAGACGCTGTTAGGGTTCAAGCGACCCACTGTTGCTTACACAGTTGAAACATGTTGAATACACGACCAATGAGCGATCAATCCAAACTCTCGGCATCAAGAATGTGGCTGGTATTATCACAGTATCTCTACAAAAGCTCTTGGGATCAGATCGACCGGGCCGCGAGAGCCATGACCAAGTCGCATAGCCCTTGTTCATGACCCATAATCTGACCACAGCACTTGTGTTTGATGTGTCGCAGACCCATTGCTGCAAGCAGACTGGCCTATCAAGGAGACGATGCTAACACTATCGGACCTATATCGAACGCACGGAGGCCTAAAGGGACGAAGGTTATCTCATAGTTCCTCAAAGGATTCATAATCTTACTTGATGCTTCCGCATTCGACAATTCACAGCTGCCTTCTTCACCCTTGGCACTGTTGTTTGGGAAGCCTGCAACTTCTTATGACGATATGGCGTCGAGAGCTGAACTCATCCCCATGGAACTTTCTTGCATGTGGCTCTCCGTGGATGCCTCACGACACACACATTGGCTATGAGATGACTATAGCTGAGAGGGCCACTCCTACGACAACATCAGCAATAGAAAAGACCTATATAATACTTTGACTATCTTCAACAAACGATGGACTCATCACAGCAAGTTGTCCTTCCCATACATCCTCCTCCATCAACTTCGGTACCCCATGTTCAGTTGAGCTCGGGTTCGAATTGCTATTACATGTCCATCGATCCTACATCTTCTACCAGTCCCAACCACAGCGAATACTTTAACCCACCAGCACGTAGATACCGGGTTCCACAGTTCGCCAGAATGTCTTCCAGCCGAAAGATCACCTCCGTACGTCTCAATCCGCTATATGACCGTCAACACCTATTTCCCGGATGCTAAACTCCAACAGGCCGAAAAGGCACAATACATCCAAGCGCTTCGATCTCACCAGTTCAATACCATCGTTGAACTCGTCCGTGTCGAGCAGGCTTTTGCAAAGCTCGGTACACCGGACTGCAGTGAGCCGATGACGGCGGCTTGTAAGTATCGACAATACTGGTATATGTAGATTGAAAACTGATTGTGGGTATCAGGGAAGTACTACGTCGAGTCGCATGGCCTGTTGACCGAACTTCGTGGATTGACTAGGAACTATCCTTTCAGGTAAACTGCCCATCATGACCCCCCGAAGGGTACACGGTGCCTCCCAAAGCATGTGCTAACCCATCTGTAGTTCTGACTGCCTAGACGAAGCAAAGCGACGTGTCTACGCCGACCCTGCAAGCAACCGCTCATGGAACTTGTGTTGGTTGGTTCTGAACAAGATACAAACTGAGTACGTCTACCAAAACATACACTACATTGCGATTTCGTTTGCTGATCTCAAGACAGTCAGCTACTGCCGTACTATGCGCGTTACCAGGCGTCTCAGCCAGCTATGTGGGCGGGTCAGACGCCGTCTGCGGAGCAGATCACGCAGCTCACGAATGCTTTTGTTAATGAATGGAATTGGGCACTTGGTCAGATGTTGGGGCGTTGGACGCAGCCGCCGGCGCGATGAGAACGTGCGGATTTCAACGGTTTGGTGTGTTGGTGATGGCGTTGATCGCTATCGAGGTCGCGTTCGGGTTCTTGTATTGCTTGTTTCTCTTTCCTATCGGGTTGCAATCTGTTTACACTCGTTTACCCCCTGGTGGTATAACTCTCTTTATACAATGTCTTATATTACATATCTTGCTTAGCCTCTGTTGAACCTGAAGTCCTCTAGCCTACATCCCAGAGACTTAGGTCGTCCTCATTGACCTAGCCATACTTAGATCTGTCTCATTTATGCTACCATCTGTCGCATCCGCGATAATGGCCTCTTGTTTGTATTACTTTCCGCACTCATAGCGTTCAAGTGTATGCCATTAATCCAGAATGCCTAGCACTATCTGTTCCCGTGATATCTAGGGAAGGTGTGTTTGATATTCATCGGACCGTCTCGCGGTTCGTCACTCCGATAGCAAAGAACGTGGCTTTCGCGGAGAGCTACACCGCTCCTTTTCTCGAGTATCATAGGCTACAGTCCTAGCATTTGAGCCTATACTTGCCGTGCCGGCCCAGAATGTCGCCTGCAAAAGCGGGGTATGTGTAAGTCATGCTATATTGATAGGACACAGAGCCAGCCTTGTCGCCTGGTGGGTGTCTCATCGGTGAGATTTGACGAATGACTATCTGGAAGTGTCGGCTGGATACTAGTGCATGTAGACCTTGTATCAGCTGGTCAGTCTCGAGATTGCTTCCCGCTCGTAGGTCTGTGGATAAGAGCATCGTACCATCCATCGTATCCGGGCAGCATTTTTCGTTACTAGCAATATCCGAAACATCATCCCGAACTTCCATCCAGGCTTCAACATCCCTCACGCCAGTAGGTCTAACATGGCTTCGTATGATAGTAAGGTACGCATGATTCATTCTATACCCGTGGATAGATACTTTGGTGCTGGATGATGCGCTATCGCAAGGTCAAGTGTTCACTACAAAATGCAATACTAACAAGCTATAGCCAAGGATTATCTACGCAGATCAGCCTGGGGATGGAGGATATAAGGTTCGCCCACACTCAACCGAGTCTTCACGACACAACACTAAGCATTGATAGCCAAGACCCAAGGGCGATGATCTTCAACCTTACGATGGGGGCTACAAGGTTCGCAGCAAAGACTAGTCGAAGCTTCTGTGCATGTCACTAAATAGTGATAGCCAAAAGAAATCGCCAGTAGCTCTGACGTACAGCCACGAGACGGATCGTTCTAAGTACGCCCGATCAAGCCCAAGGCCGCACGAAACGACAATGAACCACCAAACGCGAGAGATGCAGTGGACTGGCGACATAGGAGTAAGTGGTAGCTATCGATGGGCGAGGGTGGTGGAAAGTGGATACGGAGATGACAGCGAAGAAATTATGGTACCTATGGCGGCGATAAATTCATCTGCAATGTACTTCTTCTCTCGCAACATGCAACTGTTGGAATCACGTAGGCGGATATATAACACATGGGTTGCACGACTGCAAGCTGTTCACCACAAGCTGCCGTTACCTATTTCTAGTGAGATGATCTAACGCATCCAACCACCAGTCACTTACACTCATCTTGTCCAATTCCTGGGGTTCTTCAGAGATATTGTAAGTGCTGATCATTCGATAGCAGACGTGAGTATCGGTCAAACATTCATTACATATAAACATTACATTACCACACCACCCAAGCCAAAAAAGCTCAAAGCATACTCCTTCTCTTCGCCAACTTCTGATACTGCCTCGACGTCCTCGTCTGCCCATCCTCCATCTCATAATCCGACGCTATACTCCCGGGCCTCACAGTCACAGGGGGTCTGAGACTCTCCACCGCACTAGCTGGCCGAAGCTTCGTCGGCGCAGAACGCTCTCTCATACTGAATCTACGTTTGACCGTTTCGGCTATCTGGGCGAAGAAGCCATTCACACCTTTGCCTTCTCTTGGTGGAGCTTCATGGAGTGGGCTGTGGGTATGACTATGCATGTGGACGTGCGGCTGGCCGTGGCCGTGGCCACCGAGGAGATGGGATTTCTCTCCGGGTTCCATGTATAAGTGGTTGCCCTCGTGGTTTACGAACCAGTTCACCATGTATTGTTTTCCTTCTGGGCCGCCGCCACAAGATCCGGCGAGGACGTGCGATGGGGGCGAGTTGACGGCGAGGGCAAAGAGGTTGGGCGGTTCGCAAAAGTCTGTCACCAGGCCGCGGTGGAAGATGAAGTAGATGAGGACAAAGA